GGCAACTACACGTGCAAGGCTAGAAATCTCTGGGCCTCGTCTGTCTACACTGCCCAGTTGTTTGTTAATGGTATAGCAAAATTTGTACAGCACATGAATGTAAAAGTATTCTTTGGTTTTATTGTACATCAATTTCCTTTATAATTTGACACCAACAAAATTGTGAGTCGAACACGAATGAACACTGCAAAAAATGCATGAATGCTTTATGCTTTAGTAAATTGATATTGTTCGCTTTTTGATTTGGCTTTCAGACAGTATACTTTGTGGAAATGTCTTAGAAGTATTTATGAATAATAAACTTGATGACTTAGGCAACGAACAAAAATTCCTTCCCTTATCAAAAGACTTAGGCAAAAAACTGAAAGACAACGAAAATATTGAAAAAATAAAAGTATTTTGGAACTCTACTCTACTACTCTAAATGGAGACAATTGTAATACTCCAAGGCATAACTGCTAACACTCTCATCTTCTTTCTGTAAAAGTGCCGCCTCATATTACACCTTTTGAGTTTGGGAATGAGCCAGCTAATTTTGGAGACTCGGTGACCGTACAATGCACCATCTCGAAAGGGGATCTGCCTGTGGATATCTACTGGCTGTTCAATGATTATGCCATCAACGAGTATCATGGTGTGAGCACTTTAAAAATAGGCAAAAAGGTTAACGTGCTGACCATCGACTCCGTGAATGGCAACAATGCCGGAAACTATACGTGCCGGGCACAAAACAGTGCTCAGACTGTGGAATATATGGCGGCGCTGATTGTCAACGGTTAGGCAGCTCCTCATTTCGTCGATTTGTAGTAGTTATTAATATTAATTTATGTAGTAGACTGTTGTTTTTGACTTTATATGCTTCCTATGCCTATTTTCTGTTTACACCTAAAAAAAAAGTACTACCTCAAATAACGCCCTTTGCAATGAGTGCTCAGCCCACGCATCTGGGCCAGTATATAACGTATCAGTGCACCCTAACCGAGGGCGATCTACCCCTAAATATACGCTGGACATTTAACAAACAGCCGCTCTTCAATGACGATGATCAGGATATACTCATTGCCAAATTGGGCAGACGCAGCAGCGTTCTGACCATCGAGAGCGTGGCGGCCAAGCATGCCGGAAACTACAGTTGCCATGGCGAAAATGCCGCCGGCAAAGCATCCTACAGCACCCAACTGAAAGTTATAGGTGCAGGAGATTACACTATTTTGAATACTTTGTGAATTTCTATTATCTGCTATCGTTTAATTTGTGTGCACTGTATTATTTCGATATTATTTACCATCCACAATGTTCAGTTCTGCCGCGCATCATACCCTTTGCCTTTGAGGAGGGCCCCGCCCAGGTGGGGCAGTATTTAACGCTGCACTGTTCCGTGCCCGTTGGCGATCTACCCCTGCAAATCGAATGGACCCTCAATGGTCAATCGATCAGCGAGAAACTGGCCATCAGCACCGAGCACGTTGGCAGCCGTGGCAGCGTGTTAACCATTGAGTCAGTTGAGGCGCCACATGCCGGCAATTTCACATGCCACGCCACAAATTTGGCTGGCCATCAGCGCTTCACAACGCTACTAAATGTCTATGGTACAGATACAGTTCAAAACAACACTCGCAAAATTGAGCCTCATAACTAATGTCCGCTGTAGTTTGCTGCTACTAATCACAAATGCGTCTACAATAGAAGTATTTTGGCTGCATGTCTGTCTCTCTCTATCTCTCTGTCTTGGTTTCTATCTCGCTTTCTAAGCTCTGTCTCACTCTCTGTGGCTAGTCGCACCAAAAAGGCTTGCATGTACAAATTAATTAAAGACACTGCACCATCCAGAATATCGATATAGGGATTAAGATAAGATGTATACCTAAAAAGAGTAATTGGACGGAAAACAGAGTATATTTGCGGTCCACAATCTTTCATCGCAGTTTGTCGGGGGTCTTATGTGAAAGTTTAGACCAGCTGCAACTTAAATATCATGTCATATTTATTTTATTTTAATTTTGCTTTAAAGTACCACCCAAACTGGCACCTCTGCCCATCAATTCGCCGCTATATGTGGGCGACTACTATCAACTGACCTGTGCCGTGGTGCACGGAGATGCACCCTTCAACATTACCTGGTACTACAATGGCCAACCAGCTGGGGAGCTGCCTGGTGTCAGCATTCTAATGCACAGTCGCCGAAGTAGTTCTCTGAATATTGAGAGCGTGCAGGGTAGCAACGCTGGCACCTACACGTGCATGGGCGCCAATGGGGCTGGCTATACGACCGTCGAGACGAATCTCAGTGTCAAGGGTTTGTTTACTGCACAACTTGGCCTGTGGTAGTTGTAGCTTCCACATAGACTAGTCAGCAACTGTACATTTTGACCACTGTCTTCCTATTATCTGTCTCTGTCTCTTTCTCTTTGTGTGTTTACCCTGGTGTCGGTTTGCATAAGCTCAAATTTTGTATTATATAACACTTACTCATGCACGGCTTTTGTGTGTCGTCCCCATCCCATTCACACAGAGCTTCCCCAAATTGAGCAGTTCCATTTCAATGCCAGCGGCGTGAATGGCGGCCAAGCGGTTCGTGTCATGTGCATGGTCATTTCGGGAGATCTGCCCATCGACATATACTGGCTAAAAGATGGACAGCCCCTGCTTCGTTCCATATACCACAAGATCGATGAGTACACGCTCATCCTCTCGCTCCGTCAGACAACCATCAGCGATACGGGCAACTATACGTGTGTGGCCAGCAATGCTGCGGGTCAGGCCAGTCGCTCGTCCAGTCTGAAAGTGAAGGGTACATGAATAGTTGCGTTTTCTTTCTTTTATGTCTTTTGTAAATAGTTTATTTTTTCATTATCTTTTGTGTCCAAAAATATAAAAACTTCGTCAAAAAAGTCAGTGATTTTAGACCTTGAGAAAATCAATTTCAGGATTAATATACTCTTACAAACCGAAGGCTAGATGTTTACACTTTTGTCCAAACTTATTAGTTAAATAAGTTACAAAATATCGACATTCCACTAATAAGCTGCAATAGTCCGATAATAATTGAATTGTTCATAGAAGATCTCATAATTCGACCGATTGTTCCTGTACTTGTTTCTATATAAATTATACCCACGAGAATATGCCTACTTCTCTACACATTCCCCAATAAAATTACAATAAGCACTGCATGGTATAAAAATATGAAAAGAAAACGCTAAAAATCAAAAGACTTAGGCAACGAACTTGATAAAAGACTTAGACACCAAACTCGACTATACCAAGATCAATCTATACAAGTTTTAGCTTGGTAATTAGTTGTAAAAATGTTGATTACTTTACATCAATTTTCACCACAATTCCGCCTGGCAATTCAACATGGTCTTAAGAGCCGCCAATTCTCGCTGCACTGTCGCTTTCGGCGTCCGTTTGCGATGTTAATGATTATGTGCAGCTGACGTGCATCGCTAGTAGAGGTGCCACGCCCATTCAATTCGAATGGCGACTGAACGGAAGGGCGTTGCACGACGACGATGATGACGGTGAGGCGGATGCCACACAGGCAACGGTGGGAGAGCACACGAGCCTGCTATTGATCAACAAAGCGCAGGCACATCATGCCGGCAACTACAGCTGCTCGGCTAGCAATCATGTGGGCGTGTCCCAGAGGCAGACAATGCTGACGGTCAACGGTAAATGGGAATGTTCAGCGATTTGCATTTTTTCTCTCTTCCAATCAAGCTAATCAAGATTTTCTCGAGATTCTCGTCTTTTTTCGATCTTTTGCTCTATATAGGCCAAAGACTGTTCGATTGAGGTCTATCCATTAAGTTTAATACAATCCAATCAAAAAAATCTAAATAAAAAAAGTACTCGGATTGCAATGTTAGTTACAACCTAATCCGAATAAGCTCGTATATATGGCAAAACAGCTCAGATTCGCATACATTATAACCAGCAGCACACACACACATATACACACTTACATGTACATGCACCAAGTATACGCACTATACTACTAGTTTTTGAGGAAAGGACTCACAGCTTGATACTTGCTTGAGCTTTCTAAACACACACACTTATACATACACAAATGTTGAATGTGTTTTTTTTATTTTCAACTCAGTTATGTGTACATTACAATTTGAAAAGGCTCATGCTCCAACACCGAATAAACTGCAAACAATAACAGCCATAACAATAACAACTATTCGCATACTCAACCGCTTCTAATTGTCTACCAAACATTTAATCTCAGCCTTTGGCGCTAACTGAAACTGTGCGCTTAAAGATACCTGTCCCTGCTACGTTCCCACCCTCACCCACCCCCATCAGTCCAAACCTAATCCTTCATATCCCCAACTTTAATTACTTTCATTTTCATTATAATCTATGGTTTACTTAGTCCATAAGTCACAAAACGAAGTCTGTATTCGAAACAATCGTTAAGAAAACGTTTTCAGAAAAAATTACATAAAAGCAGCACTTCGTTTTGCACAAATTGCATGTGGTTTATCCTTTAGTTAGTTACTAATTATTGTTTCATTAAGATCCTACTTTTAGTTGTCCTTTAATACTTTGGTTAATTAATTGTGCTAACAATATTGGTTGTAGTTTTTGAGTTTTATTAGAGTTTAAGTAATTAGTGGAAATATTTTGCCAATTATAATACTTTAATATTAAAATTTATTTAAAAAAAAATTGGAAATTAAAAACGGAAAGTATTGAATCGCTTTGTCTACTACAATAAAGTCAAGTTAACAATTATGTACGAAAATTATGCAAATATTTCCACTATAATTTGAACAAATTGAAATGAGTAAAATATTAAAGAAATAAAAAATAGCATACTCGGATCATTTCAGTTTGTACAAATCAAGGTCCGTCTTTCCGATTATCAATACAACAATCTTATATGCCGCATGCTAATTGTTACATATTTACAAAGAACCCGCCACAAACATTCTAACATATTAATTTTCTACAAACGCGCAACAAACATCAAATAACAACAACAGTGCCACCCAGATGGATACTCGAGCCAACAGACAAAGCCTTCGCCCAGGGTTCCGATGCCAAGGTTGAATGCAAAGCCGATGGTTTCCCCAAACCCCAAGTGACCTGGAAGAAAGCAGTTGGTAAGTCAATTGATATATATAATATGTAAAGTGTCAATAATATTAATATGGTATATGCTTTATAAAACAGGCGACACACCCGGCGAGTACAAGGATTTAAAGAAGAGCGACAACATTCGCGTCGAGGAGGGAACTTTGCACATTGACAACATTCAAAAGACCAATGAGGGCTATTATCTATGTGAGGCTATTAATGGTATTGGTTCAGGTCTCTCTGCTGTGATCATGGTCAGTGTTCAGGCTCCACCAGAGTTTACCGAGAAGTTGCGTAATCAGACCGCTCGTCGAGGTGAACCCGCTGTGCTGCAGTGCGAGGCGAAGGGTGAGAAACCCATTGGCATTTTGTGGAACATGAACAACATGCGACTGGACCCCAAGAACGACAATCGCTATACAATTCGTGAGGAAATCCTCTCTGCCGGCGTCATGTCTAGTCTCTCGATCAAACGTACCGAACGCTCCGACTCCGCGCTCTTCACCTGTGTGGCGACCAATGCCTTTGGCTCCGATGATGCCAGCATCAATATGATTGTGCAGGAAGTGCCTGAAATGCCCTATGCTCTCAAAGTTCTCGACAAGTCTGGTCGCTCCGTGCAGCTGAGCTGGGCACCACCCTACGACGGCAACTCTCCACTGATTCGCTACATTATTGAGTTCAAGCGCTCCCGAGCATCCTGGGATGAGATTGATCGCGTTATGGTTCCTGGTCTCACCACCGAGGCCCAAGTACAGAAATTGAGCCCAGCCACCACCTATAACATTCGTATCGTCGCTGAGAATGAGATTGGCTCCTCGCAATCTTCGGAAGCCGTAACCATTATCACTGCTGAAGAGGCACCTTCTGGCAAACCTCAGACCATTAAAGTGGATCCAGTGAATCAGACAACTCTTCGCGTTACCTGGAAGCCACCAGCACGCTCTGACTGGAATGGTGAAATCCTGGGTTATTATGTCGGCTACAAGCTATCGAACACCAACTCTTCGTATATCTTTGAGACCATCAACTTTATCACCGAGGAGGGCAAGGAACATAATTTGGAACTGAACAATCTGCGTGTCTACACTCAATACTCAGTGGTTATTCAGGCCTTCAACAAGATTGGCGCCGGTCCTCTGAGCGATGAGGAGAAACAGTTCACAGCCGAAGGAACACCTAGCCAACCACCCAGCGATACCGCCTGCACCACCCTCACCTCGCAAACCATTCGTGTCAGCTGGGTCAGCCCACCCCTCGAGTCGGCCAACGGCGTGATCAAGACCTACAAGGTTGTGTACGCTTCCAGCGATGAGTGGTATGGTAAGTAGAGAGGTCTGTTTCCAGAAAATGAGCCTTCGCATTAATGTGATATGTATTTGCAGATGAGACCAAACGTCATTACAAAAAGACGGCCTCCTCCGATACCGTGCTCCATGGACTCAAGAAGTACACCAACTACACCATGCAAGTGCTGGCCACAACAGCTGGAGGCGATGGAGTTCGCAGCGTGCCAATTCACTGCCAAACCGAACCTGATGGCAAGTTTACCCTATGCAAATCCAGGACTCTTCCAAGTTTCAAGCTCTCATATGAATATGTTTTCTTCCAAACAGTTCCTGAAGCACCCACCGATGTGAAGGCTCTGGTTATGGGCAACGCAGCTATCTTGGTGTCCTGGAGACCACCAGCACAGCCCAATGGCATCATTACCCAATACACTGTCTACTCGAAGGCTGAAGGAGCTGAGACTGAAACGAAGACCCAAAAAGTGCCACACTATCAAATGAGTTTCGAGGCCACCGAACTGGAGAAGAACAAACCGTACGAATTCTGGGTTACTGGCAGCACCACCATTGGTGAGGGTCAGCAGTCCAAGAGCATTGTGGCCATGCCCAGCGATCAGGTGCCCGCCAAGATTGCCTCATTCGACGACACATTCACTGCCACCTTCAAGGAGGATGCCAAAATGCCATGTTTAGCTGTCGGAGCACCTCAACCGGAGATCACCTGGAAGATTAAGGGCGTTGACTTCAGTGCCAACGATCGTATGCGCCTCCTGCCCGATGGCTCGCTATTGATTAAGTCTGTGAATCGTTTGGATGCTGGCGACTATTCATGCCATGCCGAGAACTCCATTGCAAAGGATTCAATTACACATAAGCTGATCGTCTTGGCACCACCCCAATCACCACACGTTACGCTCTCGGCCACCACCACAGATACGCTGACGGTGCGTTTGAAGCCTCATGAAGGTGACACTGCACCACTGCACGGCTACACTCTACATTATAAGCCAGGTTTGTAAACGGATCCTTAATATTGAGTGGTAAATAAATACTTAAGTATTTCACAGAGTTCGGAGAGTGGGAAACAGCTGAAGTCTCCGTGGAATCACAGAAGCACAACATTGAGAGTCTACTATGCGGATCACGTTATCAGGTTTATGCCACAGGTTTCAACAAGTGAGCAGAGCTAAAAGCATCTAAATATATTTAATCTTAACTCCTAATTCTTACTTAGCATTGGCGCTGGAGAAGCATCAGATATTTTAAATACACGCACCAAGGGCCAAAAGCCCAAACTGCCAGAGAAACCTCGTTTTATTGAAGTCTCATCCAACTCGGTTTCATTGCATTTCAAGGCCTGGAAAGATGGAGGTTGCCCCATGTCCCACTTTGTCGTCGAGAGCAAGAAACGGTATCGAAATAAAACACATCCCACATTATGTCAGTAGCAAACTAATTTCATCAATTTTTCTAGTGATCAACTTGAATGGAATCAAATATCGAATAATGTCAAGCCCGATAATAACTATGTGGTTCTCGATTTGGAACCCGCTACCTGGTACAATCTACGTATTACTGCCCACAATTCTGCAGGATTCACCGTTGCCGAATATGATTTCGCTACACTCACCGTTACCGGAGGTATGTTCGATCTGTTTTCCAATATTCACATATTTCACATTGCTTTTGTACATAGAAAACTACGTTGATAATATTGCTGGGGTTCGTGATTGCGATTCCAAATGGATGACCATCCGAATTTTCGACCCCAGCAAGATTGTCCATATACAAATAACAAGCTAGGCATCAAGCAAAAATTGTTGTACACACTCTTTACAGAGTTCAATTTGCTTTTTATCAAAAATCACCAAAAACTGAAAATGAGCAAATTTCAATTTTTATTTAATTTATCCGAGCAAATTGCACAGTAATTATATTAATTTTTAATTAGCCGATATTATTTATAATTTGTTTAAAACACCAAGCTTGTCATACATAGTTGAACAAAAAATATTTATTTGAATTTATTTATTATTTTTGATAAAATGCCACAAAATCAAACGCAGCGGCATTTTGAATAGTGTACAAAAAAATGTTTTTATTGCGTAAATGCAATTTGATTTTTACGTTTTTATATACAATACTATACATGTATATGTGCAAATCCCAAAGAAAAGCAAATGCTACAGTTTTAAAAAAAATATTGTTCTATAAATAGTTTTAAAACAAATCTCACCAGTTACCTTTTATTATTTAATATTTTGTAATTATTTACTGCGCTGTGACCACACTAGTCAATTTGTAGTGCTCTAGACAACCACATTAGTACTATTATTTATTGTATTTTTATTCCATTATCGTTTATCATATCAATTAGTTCCATCACATTCCGTTTATTGCATTTATGTGTCCAGTGAGTGGAAATCAAGTTTTTGTACATTAAAAATATAATAAGATGGCATCAAAGTGCATTTGAATTTGTACTGCCTGATTTGCTCAATTGTTGTTGTAACCCCTGTTACTCCTTCCTCCCGCTGCTCGTACTATTATGAATGTCTTGTATATAGGACTCGAAAATATCCTTTAAAAATATTCCGAATTGTAAATTGCTTTAGTGACTTCAAATCCCATCTTAATTAATACTTTCTGCAGCAATGGCAAGATATGTAAGAATTCTAATAAGCAAAAATCTTGTGACAATCTGAAGTTCATATGTACTTATATTTCTGGGTTCCCTGCTGGATCTACATGGGAACCATCAACATTTGGAACTCTCGTTCAAGAAATTTTGTGTACAACATTTTCCACAACTGAGCACTTTTTGATTTATTCATCCATTAATTCAGACATTACGTATTTGGTTTTTATTGAACAATAATTTTAAAGTATAGTATTTTATTTAAGTTTAAACAATAGCAAAATGCTCCTCAGCTTTAACCACAAGATAAAAATCTACAAGAAAATTAACTTGAGAAACGAGCAGAGCCAAAGCGCACACATTTTTTTCGAAAGCACAACAACCAAAGATCCATCATCCTAACATGTTAAAAAAGAGTTCACAAGAGAGCTGAGAACAAGAAATGGAGAAGAAGATGAAGACGTTTTCTTATATACAACTACATAAGTGCATTCATTATACACACACAAAACATTTTGTTTCGATTACAATTCAGTTATGTCATCAAGTTATAGTTGAGTTCCACCTAAGTTAGTTAGTATTTATTTAAAGTTAATACCTTTTGAGAAATGGCAAAGAATTTCTTTCGTTCACATTCTCGTACTCGTCCTCCTCTAATCATACTCTCGAAAGCTGCTGCTACACTTGGAATGCCTGTTAATTGAATTTTTTACGAGTTGCTTAAATGCGCTTTAGCGTTTCAACTACTTAGTATTAAACATTTACTTAATTAGTTGTAAGATTTTACGGATAAAAAACAAATTGCATTTGAACGTATTAAAAACCGATATTGATTTTTTATACAATTACAATTTATACTAAAATACTAGCTAAAATAGTTTTCATATAAATACTACTCACAAAAAAAAAATAATAATCAGCGTCCAATTTGGCGCATTGTAAAATAAAATCTAAATAATATACATGTAAGTTTCTTTCTCAACTACAATTTTGTGACACACTTCTTCACATCTCAACGAACTCAACTCAAATCAAAAAGTTACATTATCGTATATTTGTATCTGTTAATGTATTTGTATATGTGTGTGTTTAAAAACAAAAAGAGTATTCTCGACTAGTTCGTCTGGGTACAAAAGTTAATGTACTATTGCGAGAGGAAGGCGAAGGACAAAAAGAGAGCGAGCCTCTTTTTAAAACTTTAAGCAGTTCGCTCTCTTTTCGAATTTTCTAACTTCTTTCTCTCTGTTGTCTCTCTCTTCTCTCTCTCCCTCTCTCTCTCTCTCTCACTATACCTCTATATAATTGTGTGTCTCTCTCCCACTCTTGGTCTACATGTGAAACACTTTGGTTGTTGTTGTTGTTGTTGCAGGCACAATCGCACCTTCGCGAGATTTACCCGAATTAAGCGCCGAGGATACTATCCGCATTATCCTATCGAACCTAAATTTAGTAGTGCCCGTCGTGGCGGCTCTGCTCGTCATAATCATAGCGATAATTGTTATTTGTATTCTGCGTAGCAAAGGCAATCACCACAAAGGTATCTATAAGTATATCAAAACTAATTACAATATTTCTTCTTTTTTTTCGGTTCCCCTCTCTATCGACTATCTCTCTTATCACTCTTACAACATACTTGCCCATGCAAAAACCAAAAACACTCGCGCTTTTCTTTTTTACATACATACACATATCCATATCCGAAATATCTTAAATATTTTGGGGTTATCAAAATTGCCTGCTCTGTTGTTGCATCCGATAAACGATAATTGCATGCTCGATAATGGTTTGTATATCGAATACGAATCACAAATAAAAACTATAGGCACAATTGCACCCCTCGACGATGGCACGGGTCATACAAATGTCCATGCGCGAATTCCCCTGCCTGCCTGGATGCCCGAGTGGCTGGATCTGAACTTTATGGTGCCACTGATAGCCACCGTTGTTGTGGTTGCTGTGGGTATCTGTGTGGTGTGTGTGGCGCTCTCTCGCAGGCGCTCGGACGATATGCGAGGCGGTCAAAAGGATGTCTACTGTAGGTTTTGACTGTGTAACAATTTGCACAGGAGCGCAAATGTTCTACTTATTATATACATATTTGATTTTCGACAAATTTTATTTCTGTTTTGTTTTGGTCCAAAAATGTTGAGGATTGAATTTATAGTTTTTAGTTGAAAATTTCAACATTAGGGCCAAAATAGCCAAAATCGAATGCCGTCACTCTGCAAAAATACTGGTAAACTTTTAAATGTTTTTGGAATGTTCATGTCTATTAATCAACTGCATGATATATATATATATATGAAAAATATTCATAAATACAAATACATCATAAACCACAGTTCACATAAAACTCAAGAATACACGCACAAAAATATACCAACAAAATATTAAGAAATCATATATTTATACTACATACTAAATGTGTATCAATGTCTCCATATGTGTATATAAATACATTCATATTTCTAATTTATTCATATGATACTCACATAACTATCATTAATTTTCCATCGCCATTAAATATCATTGGAAAATTATATAAAAAATACCTACATTTGTATAAATATCTTGCGATAACTTTAGAGTGCGATAATGATTTAAAAAAAATTCAAAATATAGATTAAAAAAAAATGTTTTTGTTTTGATACTCTATTTTTATGAGTTTGTAAACCAAGTAAATGGCCTATCATACAATAAACTAAATATAATAGACTATATAAATATCCAGTGTTGTTGTAAATACGTTTTGCTTATATTCTAAGCAACTTTCACAGTCGAAATCATTTTTCCCACAACTTATTCACAACACAGAAATTTCCATATCTTTCTCGACACTCTTTTGTTGTTGTTGATTTTATACCCTTTCAATATCTTTCTTTTCAATGAAACCAAAACTAAGATGCTTTTTGAAATCGCAATTGAATATTGTAATGCTAAAGTAAAGTAAAGCAAAGTAATCCTAAATATAAATTCTAAATTAAAATCATCGCTCATTTCATGTCATTATTATATCATGAACAAGTTGGTATATTTTGAAATCAGACAAAAAAAAAAAAAAAAAAAACACCTCACGTAATTCCGTTTTTTGGAATCTTCGTTCGCAATTATAAACTTGTATTTTTGAGCTATTTATTAGCACACTAGTGTGTTGAGATGCCGCACCAAAAGAAAAACCAAAAATTTCGTTTTAAATTTTAAAATATTTAAAAAAATGTGAGTGACGGAACAAAGCGGATTGATACGAAAACAGAAGTAAAGTATGCGAGTTGATCTATTGAGCAGCATTAAAAAAGGGAAAAGCATCTTCAGTGTTTCACTATTGAGTTTCGCGATATCATATATTAATTCTAGACGATGTAGTTTACAATCAGACAATGGGACCCGGCGCCACCCTGGACAAACGTCGCCCGGATCTGCGTGACGAGCTTGGATATATTGCCCCACCGAACCGGAAGTTGCCACCTGTTCCAGGATCCAACTACAACACCTGCGACCGGATTAAGCGAGGTACAGTCATAAGTAAGCATCTAAATTTCCAATGCAACATTTATTAATGCCAGGACTATGCCAGCGAAGCCTCAAATAGATTTTTTCAAAAAATCTAAAAGGGCAATCACTGCGCATTGGCTGCGGCTTAGTTTTTTTCTTCCATTTACTTTGCGTACAAAATGATAAAAAAAAGAGAAGAGCAAAAAGAAAAGAGTATTTCATATTTTGCGTTGCTATTGCATAACACAAACAATGATCAAAAGGTCCCGACCTAAAGTCAATCGCATACATACAAATACAGACGTGCACACCACATCCACTCAGCAAAGCTTTATCAGATCGAAATTCTTAATGTGCTTCTTAAAGTCGCTTTTTTATAGTTTTTGAACCCATCCGAAAATACTAGTGTTATTAAATGTTGTGCTGAATTTAGATAGCTCTGAATTATTATTATTTGAATTTATATTTTATTATATATTATTTGAAATTATCCCTTGCACAACTCCAAAAATTCCCCTCCGTTTCGGTTGCTGTCGCCTGAATTGTTTACATTTTTCGTTGACTCATCGTTGATGTTGTATAAAAATTGGAAATTGGATAAAAAAAACATATATATAAAATAACACACACCTAACACAATGACACAAAATATATACAAACACGAACCGGTTCAGGCCGCGGTGGCTTGCGCTCGAACCACTCCACTTGGGATCCGCGCCGTAACCCGAATCTGTACGAGGAACTCAAAGCTCCACCAGTTCCAATGCACGGCATTGGCAATCACTATGGTCATGCCCATGGCAATGTTGAATGCCAATATAGACATCCAGGTAGGAGCTGTCCTCCAGTTTGATTTTTTCTATGTTTTCATTTTTGTATGCATCCCAATTAACTGACACACCTCAACCCTGCCACACTTAACATTTTCATTTGAAATTTGAATTGAGTTTTGAAAACCACTAACATATTGTAGTCTAACCCCGGTCGCATCGAGCTAACCACAGATACTGCATCATAGTAAGTAAAATTCCATAAGGAGAAAGCCATTGAATCTCGTACTAAAACACTAAAACAAATACAAAATACAAAGACAACAACAAACCACTCTACTATTAATGAGGAACACTTGCTAATCGTTATCTTCTTTCACGAAGGCATGGAAGATGAGATCTGCCCCTATGCTACGTTCCATCTGCTTGGCTTCCGCGAGGAAATGGATCCCACCAAGGCAATGAACTTCCAGACCTTCCCACACCAGAATGGACACACCCCAGTTCCCGGACATGCCGGCACTATGCTGCCTCCTGGTCATCCTGGACACGTACACTCCCGCTCCGGATCCCAATCGATGCCACGTGCCAATCGCTACCAACGCAAGAATAGTCAGGGTGGTCAGTCTTCGATCTATACACCAGCACCCGAATATGATGATCCCGCCAACTGTGCCGAAGAAGATCAATACGTAAGTGCTATTTTGAAGGAATATCTTAACTACTTACAGACTTCTTATCGACTTTTTACCCACTGTTGCCCACAGCGTCGCTACACTCGTGTCAACTCTCAGGGCGGCAGTTTGTACTCTGGCCCCGGACCCGAATACGATGACCCCGCCAACTGTGCACCAGAGGAGGATCAGTATGGCTCTCAGTATGGCGGTCCCTATGGACAACCCTACGATCACTATGGTTCTCGCGGTTCCATGGGTCGTCGCAGCATTGGTAAGAAAACGGAGAAATGGAGAATTAGATGTTTAAATAATTTGTGATAACTCTAGGTTCAGCACGCAATCCTGGCAATGGTTCACCTGAACCACCACCACCACCACCACGTAATCATGACATGAGCAACTCCTCATTCAACGACTCCAAGGAGAGCAACGAGATCTCAGAGGCCGAATGCGATCGCGATCATGGACCACGTGGCAACTATGGCGGTAAGTTTTTGATAAACAGTTGAACGATGACCCCATTGAAAACGTGCCCTAAGTTGATCATTCCAAACATATTTTACAAATATTTGATATGCTAAATTGAGTATTCATCAATTTTTAACACGACCATTCGCAATCTTCTTGATTTCATTTTTCAAAATTTGTTAACACTATTGAAATAATAAAATCTATCAGAAGACTCCAATGAGGGTGAGTGATGTGAATGCAAATCACAAATCGAGTTGATATAATGTTCATAGTGAATTTTAAATTCCCCTTTGAACTCACCTCATTCTTCGTACTTATCGAAAAAGTCTCATGAAACACCCCAAAGATCTCATATCAGGAATGTTCTCATTCTTCATTCTTCCCTCATTGTATCATTCACGTGTCATTTTGAAGACAGTTCTTCGCAACCAATATTCATGCTGTGTTTTGCTAAAGTTTTACAACAATATATTTATTTGTTTTATTATTTATAAATATTTTTTATGTTTCTATTGTGTTAAAGAGATTAACTTTGGTTTTGGTTCTCAAATTGATTTAAGTTTGAGTTTTAGCTGCACAATTAAATACACACCATTTCATTTCATGAAGCGCACACTGCCCAAAGGATTATTGGGTTTATTTTACAGCACTATTCAATGTTTTATGTTTTGTATCTAATATCGGATTTAAGCTTAATTTTAATCGATTTCCATAAAATCTCATAGCGTTCATTTCATTGAGTTTCATGTGTTTAGAAATTCGCATGTGTCCGACTAGAAACTTGTTTGGTTTTTAGAAAAACAATAAGTTAGATATATAAGAAGCATATTTTTACCACACCATTTTTACAAAACAATTTCCGCACGTAAACTCAATATGGAATATAATATTTTTTTTTTTTATGAAAGTGTTTATTTGAAATTTCAATTTTCGTTTTCTTTCCATTTTCTTTTACATTCTATGATATTCTAAACCAATATATATAACTACTTTCGGTTGCTCAATTTAATTTTTGGGGTTCTTAAACACAAAATTTCTATCGCAAATATGTCGAATACAAAAACAAAAAAAAATATACAAAACAGCTGTAAAAAGATCACCACAACCGAAAGATCAACGCACCACCGAAGAAATGCGTAAATTGATTGAGAGGTAAGAAATGAGTACAAACACACTGAACTTATGCTCACACTTATGGTATAACAAGTTAAACAGTATAATAAATAATTTAAAAATTGCACAGAAAATACAATTAAATGTTGCGCACTTGTGTAATTAAATTCAATTATGAACTCACTGCGTTTGCAAGAGACACAATTTAACATACATTAACTAAGTACACAAATTTTCAACGAATTTGAACTCAAATTTATTTATAATTCTGATTCTAGCAGTATTTGTAACTTAGTTGAATAATTTCTGTGCAATTTTAAATGCGCCAAGATGAACTTAATAATTTTACAGCTACTAACTCTGACCATTTTTTGTATTTTTTTCATTTAAAAAATAATAATTCTGGTTAAATAATGGTTGATTAACAAACTGACTAACTTAGTCGCAGGCAATTGTAAGTTTTAAACTAAGTTAAGTTTTGTAACTAAATGTCGACGCTTTTGCATGTCCTGGGCGCAATTACATCCTTGTAAATACAGGCCTATAACTAAATGTGCATGTCTATCTATAATCAATAACTATCTTATAATCAATAATGCTTTTAATTTGTCTATTTATTTTACTTATTGTCGATTCTATTATATATGATTTGATTTTTGATTTGATTGAAAGCAAATCACAGTTGAGTGTTTCGAAACGTACCCAAAGCATTTTATCATTTGATAAACTTTTCAATTTACATAGCATACTCGTATATTAATCAACAGGCTTTAAATGATACTCTACACTGTATGAATACATACATATATATATGTCTAACAGTTTCCAGCAGCTTGGCGCTTGGTCTTGGCTTGCCACATACACAAAAAAAAAACAAAGAACAAAAAAGAAAACAACAAAATGAGGCACCCAATTCCAAAACACGCCTGAGAGCAAATAAAAATACAAAAGAAGGCGTAATTATGAAGCAATGCTTTGGTTGCAGATAAAGCCTACAATAATTTTTATTAATATATGTCTATTAAATAGATACATGTATACCTTTTGTAATATATTTTAACTAATCCCCAAACAGAAACGAAGCCGGCCCAAAACAACTCCAACTCCAACAAACAAATGGCGCAGGATTCACAGCCTACGATACTATGGCAGTGTAATTTGTAAGCGAATTGCGGTGGGCGTGGCATTTTAGCTTAGTGTTTCAAGTCAATGAAGTGCGTGGGAGTTGAATGACACACACACACACACCCTCACACACACACACATGCAAACATTAAACACAGTCACACACAGACACACAAATGCAGATGAAAACATCACAAAGAAGTAAGAAACGCATATAGCGCATACATAAATACATATATACAATTATTAACTATTTCAAGTATTTATAAACGAAATTTAAAAGCATACTTATATGCATAAATACTCACACATACGCATACATACGTATGTATGGAAATACTAAAAGCGCATTAAGAAATACCAAACAAAAGTGTTTGGTTGCAGCCAAATGCAAATCAATTTTTGCATTTACACTTTAAAACTTGAAAAGAAACGAAAAGAAAACAAAAAAAAACTAAAAACAAATAATACAAATTTAATTGTGTAATTTTTAATATTGTATTTTAGTTCGTAAGTCAAGCAGAACTACCAAAATATCAAAAGCATGCAAGAGCTGCCCAAATACATAAGAAAATGCGTATCTATATATGTATTTCTTATGTATATATATATATTTCGTAAGATTCTTTCAATTTGATTTTTTGCCATTTATGCCAAAAGCATGAACTCTTTGCGGTAGCTTAAGTCAAAGTCATAATATTATTGTAATTGATAGATATTGTTTAATTTGTCTGGTCTGCAAATCCTATAACAACGAGTATATACTGTACTCGATTGATTTTTGTATTCAATGGAATCAAAACCCAGCGCATGTTTGAGTTTTGCATTTTGTTGACTTTGCGTTGACTTGTGATCATTTAATTTTTAGCATTGTGTGAGTCAATACTTTATTGGTACTCGATTATATAATTATTTTTATACAACGTAAACTTAGAATTTTTAATTATTTTTTTCTTTTTACAATGCGCTTCCAAAAGAACAAAAAAGAAATAAATAAAAACAGACATAACTAAAGCCAAACTAATTTGTTCAATGCACAATCGCATTAATTTATGCAGAAATTATATATTAGCAAAAAAAAAACCATTTAGTCACAACCTCTAAATTGTATTATACAAAAACGTCCCAAGCGCACTTTTTTTAATTTTTTAATTTATTTACTGTTCGATTCTGCACATCAGTTATACGCAGTTCAAGCTTTAAGACAAACTGAAATTTATATTGTGCATAAACCGATTTCAACTATTGTCAGATATTTATTTAAGCTTTTTAAATTTGTTCGCTAAATACATATATATATTTTTTATTGAATCTTTTGTGTGATTTTTTATTTTTCTGCATTTTGTTTGAATATCATTTTCAGCCAGTCCTGTAAATTTGGGAGTCATTTTCAAAACTCAAAGACTGAACTATGCAAATTTATAATGCCATAAATGTTTAACAACATATGTAATTACAAGAGTTTTACAGAACACAACATTTGCTCAAATCGTAGAAATAGCAAAGCAATTGAGGTGGCTCCTACTATTTAACAGGTCGTCATCGTTAATAAAATTACGAACCAACGTTGGATTATTTATCATTTTGTCGTACAGTATATAATTTCTTAAATAAAACTTTATTTACATTATGTGTTACAGTTTTCACATTTTGCAATCTTAATTTGTGTTTTCCTTGAACATTTCTATATACATACACTATAACCCCCTACCTAGGTATACCGATTTTATATATGAATGTAGTGTTGTGAAGAAAATATTGCTTATATATATTATGGGAAACTTATATAAACGTACTACAAATTTTTATGGTAAACGAACTACAAATATTACATAGAGTTTAGTGAAAAAGCATTTAATTAATATATACATATATACGATATACAAACTCAAACTTCAAAAATCGAAGCAAAGAACAACTCACAAATTTTCAAGTAATTCAGATAGCAACCCAAAACCGTTGGATTTCAAAAATTGTAACGAGAAAACCTTAGATAACACGAAAAATACACTTAACTAAACACTTAACAATTTTCGGCAAATCAAAATCAAAAAAAAAATTATTCAACTAAAATATTATACAACAAAAAGAAAAACAAAATAAATTTTTGACATTTGGAAACAACAAATCTTGGAGTTGCGTAACGTAGGCTAAGAAATATTCACATAAATTAAAATACATCGTGCATTTTTCATATTTATCATGCATATTGAATCGTCTGCTTTATAATATGTATTGCTTGCTTTTTGTGTTGCTTGAAACAAATATAGAAAAATAAACGAAAAGAAACACACAAAAAAAAAGCAGTGAAAATATTCATTAAGCATAACTTAATCGACCCTATTTTGTAATTATTTAGCATTAAACATGCATAAAAACATACAAACAAATTTTCTACTTAACTTTACTTAAAACGCATAAATCAAAATGACATTTCCATTGCATTAAAAAGCGAAAAGAAAAGCAAACATTAAGAAAAAGAAACGACAACATTCAACTTCAACGCACATCACATTAGGGACGCGAACTAAGCAACTAAAAAAATTAAAAAAACAAAAACATTAAAACAGAATTAACAATTTAAACATAAGCAACAAACAGTTTAAAACGCATACTAATCACTCGCTCCTTCTTAGCCGAACAAATATTAATCGTATATCATAAATACATACATATTACGTATGGGAAGAGATTAAAAAATATCCAAAGATTCAAATTCGTAATCCTTAAGCGCAACATTATAAAAAACAAAAAACAAAAACAAACTAAACGAATACTTACAAAATATGTGTATTACTAATTACAAATTACAAAACATATATATATGTATTAACTATATATTAATATTGAATGTATTGAATTGACAAGGAACATTTACTCACCAAGGTACCACACACACCAACACACACATTCACACACACACACATACTCCCGTCAATAACATGAATATCACTTGCAATCCATTCGTAAGATCGAGTTGACATCTTGGTCACATTACGTAACAAATACCAATACACACAGCAACTACACACCAACACACACCTACAGCAAGCAAAGCTAAATTTGTCAGTTTCAGTGTCATTAAATTCAAGCAAAACAACAACAAAAACTAAATAAATGCCAATCTATGTTGGATAAAACAAAACTAAATGTGTCACTACTCTATGATCAGCTTTTGTAACGTAGTAGGAAACAATTCAGTCAGGCATAAACGAACACCAAATACCCTGTTTGGTGTGTGGTCAAAGCCGACAACTAAATTCAAAAATAACCTATGCGCCATCTATGTGTCAATATTGTTGGTTGGTGTACGTGATAAAGTGATGCGAACATGGTGTGTAAAATTCCCCATGTTTTTTTAAATATTATATACTATATAATATTTATATATTATATTTCAGTGTTTTAATATTAATTTTGTAGGTTGAGCTTTAAATTTTCTTCAGTTTCATCAAAATTTCAATCCTAGAATTCCATCTAAAACACTCTTACTTATTAAAAGTCGAACTCTTCTGTCTTCAATTTTCCAATATTTGATTATTAATACAACAAATACTTAAGTGACCACCAACAAAATATTTCAATATTCAACAATTGAATAACGCAAACACGGTATGAAAACAATACCCCGATCTGATGGCTCTGCGGGTAGGGGTTTTTGGGCAGCGCCTAGAACGCATTTGAAATTGGGTGTGTCCCTAATGCGGCACTGAGGCGAAAAGTTCAACAGGCTGCACCACTAAATCAACAAAGAGAAAACCACAAAATGCCGATAAGGGCCTGTATAATACACAGAGCCAGCTCACCCAGCCAGGACAGGAAGCCAACTGACCCCCATATAGTAAGTATGTATATAAGTAAGAATAACCATTGGGACTGGAACTGGGACTGGGACTGGGACTGAGGCAAGCGACACACCAGCTAAACAAACAAATGGTTCACATTAATATCAACGGCAGCAAAAACGTGGAAAATTTGTTTACGAAAACGAAGTATGAGCAGAAGAGGGAATAGGAGCAGGAGCAAAAGCGGGAGCAGGCGCAGGAGCGGGGGAGCTACAACTCGGCCACTTTGCAGGCTTCAATTTTGTTGCTATTTGGCTGGCTCAAACAAGCAGGGGTAGACTCCACCGCTCCCCGGAGATCCTAGGGGTTGCTGTCGCTAAATGCGGCCTCCAAAATGGATATGCGTTGACAACAACGAATATTTTTGTTGTTGTTGTTGTTGTTTTTGTTGGCATCGTGCTGCCGAATGCACAGTAAACATGCAAGGGAAGGCAAAGCGAAGCATTTCGAGTGCAAAGTTGGGGAAACTATGTCAACGTTGCTCTGGCTACCCAATGTACAATACTAGTTCCACCTTAATTGGGGCTGTGGCTCGCTCTGGTCTCTGGACTTGTTTTTTGGGCCCGACATTACTGCTACCTCCATGCTCCAGCGCCTGTCCCTTCAAATGGATTTCACTGTTGGCGACGTGCAATTTAAATAGCTTATCAATTTTAATACTCAATTATGGCAGATAACATAAATTGCGATTCCGCCCCGTCTCAAATAAATACTTTCTTTGTCCGACCCGCCCATATCCGGGCATTCTTTTCAATGTGCTTCGTGTGTCACGAATTTAGGCTCACAAACTTACAAAGTATACTAAATGCTTAATGATTTTTTTTAGATTTTACTTTTGGCTACTTTGTCTTCCTACAACGATTTCTTTGCAGGTTGCTGTTTGCCATAGGTTGCTGTATTGACTAAATTGTCCTCGAGCAGAATTATGCTGCATACTTTTAAGGGTACAGGCGACGAAATGGAGCGTTCAAGTCGCAAGGATTTGCAAGTCGAGGACATGCGGATAGTTCTTAAAATGTTCACTTTTCATTTCGTAGTAAGGAACCTGTATAATTATATGTAAAAGAATAAAGAATATCAAGCATCACAATAAGTTATATTCATTCTACTATTATTATAGGAGCAAATAAGGAGAAAATTATTGCATACTTGTGGGCTTTAAAGTAATTGTGATGTGAATAATTTGTGCAAAACTAATTGCATACTTCTAGGTTATGTTGAAATTGCGAGCATGGCCCCCAACATTGTACAAAACAAGCTCTAACTCGGCCAAATCCTTACAGATTTTTTAAAGACATGGTACATTAGAATCACAAACAGCAACTCTATTGAACTGCATTCAAAGAAGATGGGGTCATCAAAGAACGCAAACATTTCACACGCCTCGTGAACGAAAATGTTTCGAAATCACAAAATCCTTATTT